GCTTATTAAAATGGAACTATTCCTCATAGTAGCCACAGTTAAGTATCCAGGAGGACATTTTTTTATTGATCATGAGACATATTTTTATTTTGTTTTCTTCTTACTGAATTCAGTAGCCATGCTTAAAAAAAACTAGAGCCCGCTTGAATTTCCTGAAATTTATTCATATTTCTTGTCTCAGACTGAGTGGATCGCTCATCTGGAGATCTCTGTGTGTGTGTATTTTACATTTCTTTTGGATAACCAATCTTAAAATTATGAAAATGCCTCCTTTAAAAAGAAAGTGTCATGTTATGTTGTTAAGTGTTCTGTCTCTTTTTTTTCCAGAATTGCCAAGATACCATGCTGCTTTGCATTTTCTTTTAAGTTTATAGGTTAACCATGATAAGTACAATCACACACACACACACACACACACACACACACACACCGAGCACACCAAAGTTGAAAAGTTTTTGCTTCTGTTCCTTATTGTCCATATTCCAGGTTTTTTTTTTTTTGGCGGGGGGCGGGGGGTGGGGGGAGCAACACATGACAGTGCTTAAGATTTACTTCTGGCATTCAGGGATCACTCGTGTCATAAGTAGGGGGACCATCTGGGGTGCCAGAGAGTGAACCCAATTTGGCTGCATGGAAGGCTCCTCCCCTACCTGCTCTATTCTCTCCAGGACACACCCGCAGTTCTGTTTCTGGCTCCTATTTAATCCCAATACAATGTCAAAGGACTACCTGCAACTCCTCTGCAACCTGACTCCTGTCTGACCTATTTTGTTCCAAGGGTGGTTGGGATTGCTCACTGCTAGGAAGTCAACAAGAGTTTGCCCTCAATTCTGCAGTTCACCTGTTTCTTGTGGCAGCTCTCCCCTTCTCTGGTGATCGCTGACTAACTTTTTTTTTTTCATTTGTCCTTATTAGCTGACAGGGGGACAGGGAGTTGCCGGTGCATTTTCTAAACATTTAGTTTTATGGTTGGGTTTTGAAAACATGATCAAATGATTTATGTTAAATTAAATCATCTCTGAAATAATATGTCACCACTCTCTACATTTCTTAAATGAATACTAGAAACTTTCTGTTTGTCTTTCTTTTCTTCTTTAGTCAAATATAGTGTTCTTTTGACAGTGAATGAAATCCCGTATAAGTAAGATTAAAATTTTTTTAAAAAATACTACAGGGATAAGGTGTTTGCCTTGCGCAGAGCTGACCCTGGTTGGATCCCCAGCACTGCATGTGGTCCTCGGAAAATTGTCTGGGGTGATCCCTGACATAGAGTCAGGAGTAAGTCCTGGGTCTGGTCCATCTTGCTAACCCTGCCTCAAATCCAAATACTATCATCTGAAAATAGAAGTCTATTCTTCCTGTCTTCTCCCTTCCTATGCCATGTATACTGTGATTGTGGAATAGAAAAGGGTCCCAACCCCCATCAAACCTCTCTACCACCATTCTCTGCATTTAAAAATCAATTTCTAGAACCTGCTGAGAGAGCCTCATACTCAACCCAGAAATGATGCTGAATTTTTTCATTAATAATATTTTAATAGTAAAACCTTTGAATAATTTCCTCAATTCTAAAGGGACAAAAATCCTATTATTTCCTTGGACTCTTACTGAATGCAGAACTATTAGTTTCTTATTTATCATTTTTGTGTTTGTTCCTATTTGGATTATTTTTAACTTGTAGATTTCTAAAGCTTTTATATTACTTTGAGAATAGTAACATTCATTAGTTATACCCAGGGGAGTTTGCCAGGCCCTGCCATGTGGGCAGGATACTCTCAGTAGCTTGCTGGGCTCTCTGAGAGGGATGGAGGAATCGAACCCTGGCCGGCCGCATGAAAGGCAAATGCCCTACCAGCTGTGCTATCGCTCCAGCCCAGTAATATTCATACCATGTTAAAATGCTAAATGTTTGGTGAACTGAGCTTTCAAACAGGACAATACGAATGTATAATATATATTTAGAATAGAATGAAATACATGCTAGTCAAACTTCATTTTCAGAGCTTTATATTCTAAATTTGGTTTTGTGAATTAACAGATTATCTTTTCTTGTGTAGTAAATGGTGGCCTAAATGAGTCTTCATTTTGAAATTGTTTTAATTGTCCTTTTTTGTCATTGTTTTTGTTTTGTTTTGCTTTGTTTATCGGTTTTGGGGGTTATACTTCTGCTCAGGGCTCAGGGCTTACCCCTGGCTCTGCACTCAGGGTTTGCTGCAGGCAGCACTCTGGTGACCCTATGGAATGTTGGGGATAGAACCTGGGTTGGTTGCCTGCAAGGCAAGCACTCTGCCTGCTGAATCATTACATTGGCTTCCCAAGTTGACCTCTTTAATTACGATTATTAAAGTTAGATGGCAGTGAATTTAATAGATCCTTATTTTTGTTTTTGTGTGTGTGATATACATCTCTTTAGATGTTTTTATTTTTTTATATTTGGAACTAAATTATTTGAACCATATACTCTATACCATCATTAACATAAACTTTATCCAAATAGCACAAAATCTCCAAAATTATAATCATAAAACTAAACCTAGTCTAGAACTGTTTTTGTTTGTTTTGTAAACTTTTTTTTGGATGATACTGAAAAATTGTTACCAACTTGACTTAATACCTCTCATAATCAAACATTCCATCTGTAATCAATATGTGTGGTTGCAGTATGTCAGATTTGCCTCTTTCATTGAGATGTTCATGCAGAGAAGAATTTGCTACCATATTACCCAGTTACTTTAAGCTTATTAACAGAGAAAATTATAGTCATGAGGGTCAGCTTCAGAAAAAGGGTTCTGTTCAGGAGCTTTAGATAAAATAGTGAGGAAAAGGAAAAACAAAGCCTACTTAAAAATCACTTTTCTCTAATAGCCCTGAGCTCAAATTGTTCACCAGTTTACCAAACAAGCATCACTTTTTTTCTATTAGTAATAAAAGATAATCCTCAGGCTTCAATGACATAGGTAACTGAAACATGCCAAGAATTGTTTTTGATAACTCTGTGAGAGACTAATTAAATGTTCTTAAGTTATATGTTTCTAAATCAGGCTATTTATTTAGTTGATTAATACTTGGGAACATTATAATAATCAACTTTAAATTAGTATTAATGAATATTTACTAGCTGTTGTAATGTCAATAAGTCTGAATTTTTTTAAAGCATTAAATATAAATTATGCAAGCACTCAATTTTATATGATGACTTTTTGGATTAACTCACTCCAAATTGTGCATTAGCCAAGTGATAACTAAATCATTATAATAACAACAAGACTTAAAATAATTGCGTGTTAAAAAATTAGTTATTTTTAAATTAAAATTGCTTTTTTCTATTTTTTACTTTTCTTGCCATGCTTATTATTCATGTAATTTTTAAAAGGCTTCAGAGTTGAATTTTAACTACTGTGTGCAAGGCAAGTGCCTTACCTGCTGTACTGTCCGTCCTTTATTTTTTGAAATATTTTCTCTCTCACTTTTGCTGACTGCACTTGAATTTATTGGCCACATCTGGGCCATTGAGATAGCTCTGTGGGCTGAGCACATACTGTATAGTGGGTGGGTGCTGGCAAGGGGGCGTTAGGGGGGATTCTCTCTTTGATCACGCTATCTCTTGCTCCCCCAAGCACCACCAGGAGCAATCCTCAAGCACTGAAGCTGAATCTGGCCCCCAAACTAAAATTTCTCAAATCTCATTTATTTGGATCTTAGGTCTGAAGTCATTATTCCATAACCTGGCTGGAATTTTATAATACATCTAATAGCCTTAAGGATAATCTCATCTCTTGATATTTTCAGATTCCGTTTTGTCTTCTCAGATGAAATTTAGACCTTATTTTTTCAGTTTTCGAGGAAATGCTTTTAGCTTTAATTGAAATTGAGTTAAACCTGCAGATTCTTCTGGGTAAAACGGGATACTGTGGATATCCATCTCAGCCGAGAGCATTATGTGTTGGTCAGTGAAGTGCTACGGTTTTCATTAGATGGTTAGTTTATTGTGTTTTTTTTTGTTTTTGTAGCTATTGTGAAAAGTTCAGGTTTTTCTCTGCTCAATGTCACTGCTCTGAGTTGGTGATGTTTGCCAGTTGTGAGCCCCGGGTTAGCATTCACTTAAGGATCCTCACATGCTCTGTGCTAGCGTCTCCTGGGGGTTCCCACCTGAGCTTATCTGAGCAGAGCATGGGACAGATGGATGGACTTTTTATCCCTCTCAGTCAGTGTCTTGCATTTCCTTAATGTTCTTCTAGTTCAGTGTTATTTTCAATAAGTCAATATGCTTGTTCAGTAGAGTGGCTCACAGACATTGCCGATACAGGAATAACTTGATCATGCCAGTTGAATCTCTTTATTATGAAAATCTAAATTTGGGGATTTAATAGTGTTTATCACTTTAATTTTGTTCCCTCAAAATTATTTATTTATTATAAAAAAAACTTGATGGGTCTCATTCTCCTAAAGAGCCTTGAATATAATCTCAGGGCTAGGATGAAGGAGACGTTACTGGGGCCTGCTCGAGGCAATCGACGATTAACAGGATGATTTGTGATTTGTGATTTGTGATAAAAAAAACTTATATTTTTGTGCCATTCTCAAAACATAATTAAAAGTCATCAAAATATGGTGTCTTTCTGGTGTTGACTGTTTTTGAAGGTAAATTACGTTCCACTAGCCGACTTGTTCAGGATATTTTCCTAATGATTAAAAACTTAATAATCTGCAAATACAGTCTTAAATGCTTTTTTTGCTCTATGATGCATCTCTCAAAGAACTGTAAAGCATTCTACTAGCAATCTTTTGTCACAGGAAAAATTGCAGACATAATCAAAATACCTTATACTAGCTGATGAAATATTAGCTACCAAACCAGAATTTCATAAATGTCGATATATGCAAAATGGCTACAAAATGCATGACTGGGAAGCCTGATACTTTCTTAAAAGGAAGAGTTTAAATATTTCCCATGAAATACATATCATTTTAACCGCTATCATTATTATATTATCTTCCAGCTCATGGGGCATTCAGATTGGGACCACAAACGGGGTCCGAGAGGATCACAGGTCAGTCTCTTTCCCTTTCCTGTTTTGCATTTTGTTTCTTCACACTTTGAGCCATGAATTTTCTAAATCTCAAAAATGAATAGGAAATAGAGAGAGGAAGAGGCAAAATAATCATGCCATTTGTTTTTATTTAAGTTAGCTGTAATTAAAGTCTGGTTTCAAATCCCAAGGGCAGATGCCCGTATATTCCTCGTAGGAGCTTTCTGGTATCCTGTATTGGGTGTGTTTATATGAATGTAGATTTTGTATTCATCTCGACTCTGCAAGTTGCATTTTGATCAGCCAGCTTACTCTCTTGATTTTATTCACTTCCTTTGATAATTTTTCCCTGTATGTTCTTCTTTTCTCTATATTCCTGGTTTTGGTTAAATATTTTGAAACATAATCAGAGCAAACCCTAAACTAATTACAGATTTTGTCTCTAAATTAACTGTCTTCGGCTTAGGGAAAATAGAAAGATGAAAGGACCTATTATTTTTGAAAAGAAACAAATTCTAAACCTTTCTATATTACCAGACTGTTTTCATTGTCTGGCATTATGTCTTAGGCAAGGAGCAAAGCTTCCATGACGCAGTCATGCTGGTTAATGACCTAATTAGACAATGTGGATTTGTTTTGCTTCCATAATTACTTTGCCTGACAGAATAAAAGCTGAGTTTTACACTAAGGAAGTTATCTCTCCTCTCAGGGTATTCTGTGAAGAAATATAAAAAATCCTTTCTCTCATAAAACCCTCGGTTTACCTGCCTGAACACTTAATGTAAGAATGAAGTGAAGTCTTAGTATCCTTCTGCCACATGCATTTTGTGTTTGCCAGAAGAAGCCTGATTTCAGGGCTGACCAGAGAGTACAGTAGCCGATTCTCTTACTGTCTCTGGGCACTATTTCCTCATCCATCCCCTGAGACTTGCCAGGAGTGATCCCTGAGCACAGAACCAGGAGTAAGCCCAAACACTGCTGGATGTGGCCCCAAAGCCACCAAACCCCAAAGAAGTCCAATTCATAAAGGTTGGGGAAGGTCCAGTGGTGGTGCTGAGAATGGCCATTCCCAGGCATGACTAAGACATGGCCTGGGCTGTCACCTTTGCATGACTCGCTGTTGACTTAGGTCCCTGAGAAATGCGAACCAAGTCAGGCCATTGTTTTCAGGCATATTTTAATAGCAATGGTTTTCTTTCTGTCCATTGTCCATTATCAGTAAGTAACATGAAATAGCGGGTTAAATGAGGATTATTCAAAAGAACTTAGGTCTTGCCTCTACTTCAACTCACTTCTCCGCCTAGTTCTCTCTAAGCACCTGTAAACTTTTACATCTGAATTGGCTACCAAGTCTGTAGTAAAAAGGATGAAGTTAATGTATGTATGGTGAAAGATTCGTGATGCTAGCCCAATAAAAAGTGGGGCCAGGTCAGAAACTCCCTGATTTCAGGTGATTGTTGTGAAAGACAATTTTTTTCTTTTATTTTTTCAATCTTTTTTTTTACTTTATTTTATTTATTTATTTTTTAATTTTTATTAGTGAGACATCATGAGGTACAGTTGTAGACTTACAAATTTTTGTGCTTGGGTTTCAATTATACAGTGATCAAATACCCATCCCTCCACCAGTGCCCATTTCCCACCACCACAGGAAAGACAATTTTTTTACAAACTTGATACAAAAACTCTATTTTCTTTTGTTAAAAAAAGACCTTTAGAAATTTAAAACACAATACACCATTTAAAGATGATGTATTGGGGCTGGAGTGATAGTACAGCAGGTAGGGTGTTTGCCTTGCATGTGGCCAATCTGGGTTCGATCCCCAGTCTCCCATCTGGTCCCCCAAACACTGCCAAGAACAATTCCTGAGTGCAGAGCTAGGAGTATCCTCTGAGCATCACTGAGTATGACCCAAAAAGCAAAAAAAAAATTTTTTTTAATTTAAAAATAAAAAAATAAAGATTTGTATTATTATTCAAAATAAAATGTTATATAAAACCATTATAATTTAGGATAAGTACTACTTCTCATCTGACCTGTTTAAGAATTACCTGCAAGTGTGAAATGGTCATTTAATAAAAACTAAACAAAGAGTTCATAAAAATGCATTTGTTTCTATGAATTTCAAGCATAAAAATTCCATAATGAAAAGCTGAAACATTCCAGATTTGCATAAGGTAAAGGTAAAGGCCCTCCCGTTGATCGTCGATTTGCTCGAGCAGGCCCAGTAACGTCTCCATTGGAGACTTTGTTGTTACTGTGTTTGGCATATCGAATACTCTCAGTAGCTTGCCAGGCTCTCCGAGAGGGGTGGAGGAATCGAACTCGGGTCGGCCATGTTGGCTGCTTGTAAGACGAACGCCCTACCGCTGTGCTATCTCTCCAGCACCTGGTATTCCCAGGCGGTCTCCCATCCAAGTAGTAACCAAGCCTAACCCTGCTTAGCTTTCGAGATCAGGGGCGTGCAGGGTGGTATGGCCATAGACGGAGCTTCTGTGAATTTCAAGCATAAAAATTCCATAATGAAAATCTAAAACATTCCAGATTTGCATATAAACTAGAAAACTTTGACATTTCACTTGTACATGATATATTTATTATATTTGAAAGCCAAAGGTAGTTCTGATGTGCAGTGTTCTTGCATGAATTAATATTATCAACAAGAAGGTCTTTCTAGGGTCCCTCAAATAGCTAAAACACTGTTCTTGAAGGAGTTTCTCTTTGTTTCATTTTGATTCCATAAGAGTTGCCAAGATGAAAAGTAAAAATATACTGAAAACACCCCAAATAAAAAAAACAATGTTGTTTTTAAATTCCTTGGAAATTCCAGCTAAGGCAAGCATGAAACAAGTTCTTATCTAATTTTAATTTTTCCACTGGTTAAAAAAGACAGTGACTTTATTTCTTAGATCTCTAACCTGTCATCATTTACCTGAACAATATGTCTGGAAAACCATGATTCAGAGGGAACTTCAGACAGTTTATACTTGAACACTCATCTCTTGATAGTTTTCTTTTTCTCTCCAGCTTTTCTCAAACCTCAGCTCCGTTCATTTTGAGGATTTGTCTTTAAGCCGTGACTCCTGTGATCGGTCTAATGAAGTCTGATTGGCAAATTGTTGGCTTTACTAATCTCTCACGTTATGGTTGGTACAAAGTCATACATGAACACATCATTCGTATGAAAGGCAAACTGGTAGATGCGAAAGTCGAACATGTAAACAAAGATTGATAAAGATAGACACAATATCTAGTTCCCCTTCAGACACACACAAAACACTCCTATGAAATGATGACAGGGCAATGGACCGCCAAGGCTGAGTGCAGGGAAGCAGGGTGAGGAGAGAAAAAGCGGGGGGAAAAACTCATGTCAAAGTCTGAACGGGCAGAGAGTGGGAAATGTTTGAAAATAAACTTTTACTGCATGGCACTGTTACAGGAACTGCTGTGAAGGAATGAATGTCAGACGTCATTGATTAGAGAGAAGGAAGGAGGGCCAGGGCTTGGAAAGTGAGCGCATGGAGAGTTAGTGACCCATGTCCATGGGAAGAGGATGGGCTCAGTGTGGGCCATAGGAGAGAAATGAAGACCACGGTTCCAAAAGGAGATTCCAGTGGCTCAGCTAGATGGCAGCGTGCCAGTGACACTGGAGGACGTGGGATCCGGGATGCCTGTGTGGTACACCTGGAACGGATACAGTGCTTGTGTCAGTTCTACGTCAATGGAGAGTGAATGTCACACCTGAGGGCTCCTTCTGGGGCTCTGTGGCCAGATCCAAGGTGCAGGTGTCAGTCTGGGAAAGCCAGTCATGCTTGCAGTTGACTGAGCTCCATCACTAGGGAGATTGCAGAAGGAAAATATTGAGAGGAAAAGTGAATACAGAAAGGCAGAGTTTTGCGGAAAGGGGGACTCGCTGTCAGACGGGAAAGAATCTGTGGGGAGGGAGGGGTGCAGTGTGGATCCAGTTTCCCTGAAGCAGTCAAAGGAGGGAAGATGCAAAATCAAAGGCAGTGTCCCAGTCAGCAGAGACTAAGATCCGTGCATGAGAAATGTTCTGGACTGGAGCAGAGGGCTGCTCGTTAGTGGAGTTTGAGAATGGCGCTAAATCAAAAAGGAGTGGTAGAAAGCAGAAAACAGAAATGAGGGGCCAAGTGTAAAGGTGAAAAAGGTGTGGGGAGGAATTTTGGTTTAACGAACATTAAGAAAGAGATAGGCCAGGGAGGTTCCTGGGAGGGCTGGAGCACATGTGAGAGGCCTGGGTTCAATCGCCAGCAGTGCCTCTGGGTGATACTCTTGAGCACTGTGGCATGAGTAACCCCTGAGCACTGCTGGGAAAGAATAAGGGAGGGAAGAAGACAGAAGAACTAGGGAAGAAGTGATTAAAATTTCCTTTCATGGAGAGACATGTCTTTTTTGTCTTGCTAGCATTTAACCTTCATTTTACATGTCTATAGTTTTATTATTATAGCTTTGAAGATACGGTTATAGCAGTGCTGATGTGTGTGGTGTTTTTGTACAAAGTTCCTGCAGCCCAGCACCCCCACATGGCTTCTGACACCTCTGGCCCACCTTTTGTTTCTCCCCATCCATCCCTGTTCAGTAAGACAAGTCTTGTCACCCAAGGACTGTCTTCATTTGATACTGTCTATCCCCTGGTTTTGTCTCTGTTTCATTGGTGAGTGTGGTCACCTGGTATTTGTCCTCCCTCTGACTTACTCTGCTTAATGTGTTACCTTCAGGTTCCATCCATGTTACAGCTGTCACTGTCAACTGTCACTGTCCTCCCGTTGTTCATCGATTTGCTCGAGCGGGCCCAGTAACGTCTCCATTGGAGACTTTGTTGTTACTGTGTGGACATGTTACAGCAAACTGCATAATTTCATCTTTTCTTATTCATTTGGGCTGGAGCAATAGCAGAGCAGTAGGGCATTTGCCTTGCGCTGGGTCGACCCAGCTGACTGGCCGACCTGGGTTTGATTCCTCCACCCTTCTTGGAGAGCCCAGCAAGCTACCAAGAGTA